ATCAGAATTTTCAGAAGAACCGGACGAAACGTCCTGCTATTTGGTTTTTTCGTCTCTTCCGTAGATTCCTTTTTAACCTTTATCCGACATCGTAGCCTTATTGATGTTGTCCGTCGGATACGGTAGAACAACTCTTTTGTCTCATCATTAGTACTGTATTCAAATAACTACTCGGCTGAACGTACATGTACACGAACTTGATAAGAGCTTTCTTGGCTAACAATTTGGCGGGTTCCCCCCCCCCCCTGGTATGAATACCAATGTGTAGATAAAAAATAGTGCGTAATCCCTAGTATGCGCAAAGGCGCGGGATGTGGTCGAGCTAGTGAGCAATTTTGGGCGAAAACAAAATAAAAAAGGTGCGAAGAGGACGCCAAAATGGGAAGAAAGTCAAGGGGCCCCAGAAAACACTGAAATAAAGAGATTTTCCTATTGTGAGGTCGATTGTGGTCTGAAGGAGGGAACCAGCGCGGACAGTCACCAGCTAGGATCAGGAGACGGAATACACAAGAGCACATCGTACGAGAAGAATCGTATTTTGCGATTGATCAATTGCAGCGATTGCAGCGGTCAAGGGACGACCCCGTTACTGCAGTGTCACAACCCCTGTGCTCAAAAACCGTGCCACCTATTCAAGGCGGGATTTCTATAAGGATCTGATCGCGACCCGAGCCTTTAACTCATTCAATACCCATGTAAAGTCTTCAACCAGAGACTCTGATTAGGACCTGGCTAAATGTTTGCCGTTTTTTATGTCAACTGATTGCGTTCATCTAGAAAGACGCGGTATCTCTAATTACCCGTTGATTAGATGTATCGGGATTTTTTCGAAGGTCTCCTAAGGTTACGATGTTTTCGAATCAGTTATGGCTCGGTTTCCATCCTTTCCAGGTTTCAATGAACCCGGGGAAAAGTCGGTGAAGCAAGCTATTATCAAGTTCATGTACAGTATAAAACAATAAGGGAATTTCAGTGCATTGTCGAAGTTAATCAGAAGTCTAACGCGCTGTCTTTGCGCTGTTTACCTCTAAACCACTTTAAGCAGCCCCTACCCTTTACCGAACCTCCCTTTGTTTCGACCTCTAGATTTGGGCTCAGATCGTCCACATTGTAATCTTCAGGACTATGGGATGTCCCTGCACTATCATCTCAACACATTGGAAGCGCTTTGGCAAATAACGGCTGGTCTGTCCAGGCCTAAGTATCGAGTTTAGCGTGTGAGTCGGTGTTAGAGCAGTCGCGATTTCCTGGCTGGTGTGGTGTGGAGTGTAGAAAATTCTGTTACTAAAAAAGTGTTACTCGACGTAAGTCAGCCGTCAGCTCGGGGTGGCTGGAGTGTAAGAAAATCTTACAAAAAAACGATCCCTAAGTGAACAGCTGTTTGACACGTGAATTAAAGGAGCGAATGGGCGTTCACTTTTTTATATTCTGGTCTGTGATTGCTCTATGGTTGTTTTCGGATGAGTGATGAAAGAAGGAGCTCAAAAGTATAGTTCGAGGGAAATTTAAGTAGTAATAGCCCCGGAAGGCAGCGTGTGTATATGAGCTGACTAATTGTTCAGGTGGATCAGTGTGGTTGCAGCTTCGCGAAACTGCTTCACGCCTTCAAACATTTTTTAGGAATTTTTACAATGAAGTGTAAAGATTCACTAATGGTGATTAAGAGCCAATCCTAATATCAACGGATGTGGTGTTTATACTGTAGGTGTGCTGCTATGATGATCTTACGGATAAGTCGACGAATTCGCGCTAGCGCGGAGAAGACGCCCGCGGGTGGACGCGCAATCTGCGCAGCATTGTTTCAGGACTCTTCGGGAGACGGCCGCAATTACGTCACGCCTGCGGTGTGAATGTGTTGAATGTCTCCGACCACGGGCGAGGATGCTTGTCAGAAAGGATAGCAGAGGGACAGTGTTTGTTTGAGTCAATAGAGCTTAATAGGCTAACGGAATTGTGGCGTACGTCGTCCGGCCAGCGAAAGCGCTTCCCAGTGGCGTTTACAGGGGGTTCTAGAACGGAAACCAGCTTGGCCATATTCTAACGCCTTGGCATGTACTCGAGTATTCCTGTTTCATTAGATTAGCCTATTCCGCCCTGGAGGAGACTAACCTTGGAGGTTTCTCGCGCCACAGTAGTCCATTAGAAATATGCCTGGGGCGTGACATGAGATGGGAATATAGATGTGGAAGATTTTTGTAGGTTCTTTTCAAGCAATTGTTACTCGGGAATTTCGCAGTGTGTTGTCTGAAGTTACCGTGCACCACTAAGAACAAACCCTTTCTGTTCTTCCAGGCAGGGTACCATTCGCGCTTTCTCAAGTATTATACTTATTTCCTTTATGGGCAGACAGCCGCCATGGCGGAATTGAATTGTGTATTTGTTGTTTGTTGATCTTGTGTTTGATTTAATGATTTTTTGTGGTGTGTGGCAAATAAACCACACTTATAGTAGGCTACTACACACTGAGGGAGGTCTTAGGGGTGATCACTGCGTTCCGGTTGCTGCAATCTTAAAGGAGGATTGCACGGAAAGAACGAAGGTCGAAGAAGGGAGAAATCGCCTAGTGGGGAGAGCGGTGAATCTCTTGAGGGTGCGGACAGACACGCAATCGGCATCGAAAGATTTGACCTCTGAGATCTAGCATGGCTCAAAGTTGGCGAGTTCGGCGATCTCCGCCCACCGATCGTCTGATCACTCGCCGTAGTACAATAGGTGGCGAGTGATTAGATAGCTGAGAGAGCGTAGGGTTGAAGAGGGCAAAGCGATGAGAGTCCCATCAATGCTCAAATCAACGGACAAGGAAGGGGTCCCATTTCTCCGGTTCTGGGCCGTTTTTCGTGGTTTCGCTTTCTTTCTGGTACTACTCACCATCTCTACCTCAATTTGGAATGGGTTGCTTTTCCATCGTAAATTCGTCCTTTAATGGCGGCTCTTGGCTCTGTTTTTGGTCCTAAGGCCTCTGAACTTTCCGCCACTGCGGTGAGGACTGAGAGTGTATTTTCAATCCGAACTGGGTTTTCTAAAAATTCGGCAATCTTCCATTGTTTGTGGTAAAGCCCGAAGTTTGTGCCACCTTGACCACTCTTGAAAGTGTGGGTCCCTTTATGACGAAGGGATGAAGCATAAATCTCCATGAATCGATATGTGAGTTTGAGTGACAGAATAACTATTTTTCTGGTACCGACAGGAGGCCCGTCGCGCGGCAACAAGGCAGAGTCAGCGGACGAGTCGCAGCGCGTACTGTAGTGATTTCGCGTCAAGTTAAATAGAATGTCCATTGCACGTCCTACATCGCACATCACGCGCTGCGACTCGTCCGCTAACTCTGCCTTCTTGCCGCGCGACGGGCCTCCTGTCGGGTACTCATTTTTTTATAGGCGGCGGCTGGGTACGGTGCCTTTAGTGAACCCTAGCCTTTTCTGCTTACCTTGTAGTTTGACACCTGTGACAGCTCTGCTATTACTGCTGTTCAGATAAGCTTATCCTACAAGATTATCTTGTTCCTATTGAAAACGCAGTGAGCTCCTGAACCTCACAATATACAGTGTGACCACAGATTACGGTCGCAGGAGGGTACCTCATTCAATTAAAATTGAACGGATATAGTTTTCTATGACCACTTCGTCTTGTTACCGTAATTTCTGGCCACTCTGTGTCAAGCTCATGTAACATGTCTTAAGATGGCTCAATAGAAGTGATGAGCACACTCTTGCTGTGTCATTCGGAGTCGCGAGATCTGAGGCATGCGGTCAGATCCGAGGATATGTTGGTCTATTACGACTATGCCACAACCACTGTCGAAGAGATAAAGGGTGTGTTTTCAGTCTCGAATTCATTGAAGTCGTTCTTTGAGTAGATCACATTCTTTTAGAAAAAATCTGCAGTGCTTCGGCGTCGAAGATAAAAAGCCTCGGTCTTCACATTCAAAGCAGACGTCATGGATTGTCTCTCTGTGGAACTGCGAACACCGTGAGTGCCTCAGTTTTCTCCAATATCCTCTTCAAATCTATTCGGAGGTTTCAACTTACTTCATCCTTTGAAGTAGCCCGAGTTACAGCTTGTCCAGCCTGTTTTAAGTTCTTTGCTGCCTAGAGAGGAAAGCTACACTGAACTTCTTTCTGAAACTTTACTGAACTTGAAGCTTCACTTGAAGGCGGATTTCACCATAAAAAAGCAGCCCATTGGAAATTTAGTTGGAGATGGTCAGTGATGCGTGAAAGAAGAAAAAAACGAGAAAATGGCCCAGAACCCGAGGAATGAGACGCCTTCTTTTACAATTGCGCAGTTGATGCGACTCTCATCGCTGTGCCCTCT